GAGTCTATAGTGAGCCTACAGAGTCTACAGAGACCCTACAGTGAGTCTACAGAGAGCCATTAGGATATAAGATATATCTCAATGGCTCTGACCCTACATTTTCAGTATGTAAAGATAAAAAGGGACATGACTCGCAAGATAAATTGTTTTAAAGAAATTCAGTCAGAATAGACGAAGCAACAAAGTCTGACATATCCTGACATTTAGTCTCTTGGCATTAATCCGACTCCAAACATGTCTAATACCATTTGACATCTCACCCCAAGGTCTATTAGTAGCACTTTTTGGAGCTTTCATTCACTAAATTGATAAATTGGATTGTCAAGTACTGTTTCCAAAGTCAGGAATTAATTTCCAGTCTAAACTTAAGCAAACATAGATGTGGAGTCTTTGAAGAAGAGGAAGAGAAAAACAGAAATTTTAACAACTGGGCGACCTCCATCTGCTGAGGAAGATCTAGTGAAACAATCAAAAGCTACTTAATGGACACTGACTGGACTGTTTTGTTGACTGCTGTTTCTAACATTCAGTCTCACCAATGCCTTCTTCTCATCAGCCTGCATGGTAAACGTTAATGCATTTGTAACTCCACTCTACCGGCTGTGTGTGCCCAAGCCAAGGGTTATTTCTTCTGTGTTCACAGGCTGAATAACACTGACTAGTAAACTGACATAAATATTAATCAACCAGTCAACATACAGCATGAATAAATCACACACCATCATTATTCAGAGCCGCACAGTTTTAATGAGTCTTATGAAGACCAAATCAGACATGTAAGTGACAGCAGCGCACTGATAACAAGTTAAAAGTCGTAGTTTAAGCTCAGAGATCCCTGAAAAGAGGCTGTACAAGTCATAGATACAGTATATAAAATACAAAACTGAGAAAAGGCAGTGTTGTGATATTGTAGTAGCACTTTAAAAATTAGCAGGTCTACACAAGCCTTCTATGGAGTTCTATGGATCTGTAGGTCAACATAGGTCTCTGGTCAAGTGTGTTGTATCATTTTCTGCCTTCTTTTTTAGATGTAAGTTATATCGGAGGCCAACTTTTGGCTACTTCTTGATGCACAGCTTCAGGTAACCACTGGCAGTATGCTGACAACAGAACTGTAGGAGGAGAAAAATACAAAACAAACGACAAGATTAAATGACAATAAGGCTAATCAAATCAGACTCTGGCAATGTCATGCCAAGCAGATTAAACCCTCACATTTATCTTCAGTTTTCCAGACAGAGAGGAGGGTATCTCTGCAGTCAACTCTCTTTGACACCAGCGCTCCCAGCAAAGCCTCCGTCCTGGGCTGCAGCCTAAAACGGCAACGACACAAAAGGTAAGACAAGTTCCTTTGTTCATTGACAAAAACTGAAAAATGCCTCAAAGAGGGCAGAGCAGTGTGTGAGAGTAACAACTTACTTTGCCCATGTTTTCAGCATGATGGAGGGGTTTGAGAGAAGGTGGCCAACATGTTTCTTTAGTTTAGGACAAACCTGCAAACCAAACAAAGCAAACATTACTATGCAAGACCTAAGTGTTACTGTCAGGTGCAGGCGTCATTTTTATGGCTTTTGTGGGGTTTGTGCCAGGTTTGAAGTTCAGATTTAGATTATATTTCTTACTTATATTTACCTTAAGTGCATATTTTTTTGCCTGGCACACAGGGGACAATGCAGATGTAAAAACAGCTCAATATATAAAGTTTATTCAGATAAAAACTCCAAAAGTGTGGAATTGTTTATACATTTAAACTTAATTTAAAATGTTTGAAGTCATTGCATTGGGTTGGGGGCAGTGGTGATAACTGTTTTATTTACTGTATGGAGACAGAACAGAGATCAGCGAACAGGTTTTGGTGCAGTACCTGTCCCTCAAGCAGAAACCTTGAAAACAGTTTGTAACGCTCCAGGCCGTCTGGATATTCCTTCTCCACTGCTGGCAGCTGCCAACCGACACGGACTGCAGGAGAGACACAGCAGTTACACAAATAGGCGCGGACCCCCTTTCAGCACAAACAGAGCCGTGGTGCTCAGCTGTAGAAGACTTACAGAAGGTGCTCGAGCGGTGACATCTGATGGTGCCGGTGGAAGAACAGAACCACGGTGACGGAGACTCCAGAGGGGAGCCGAAATGACAATACTGAGGCAGAAGCTCGGGGACCCACTCTGCTTCTACTGCTGACACACCTGACAGAGACAGGGAGGAAGACACTCACCAGGTGAGATCATCAGCCTGCAAATCTTGTTTCAGTAAGAGCAGCAAAACAGACTTGAGCTCTTTTTGCCTATATTTGTTTACATTTTGGCAAACCCCATAAGTATACCCAATTAACCATTTCTGTTTGCAGTGTACGCATTGTACAGACATCTATCACTGGATTACTTTGATAGCCTAATGTGATGATTCTCTCTCTCTATGGTTTTAAAGTGTTTTAAACGCCTCCACAAGCTGTGTGTCCCAACCACTACTGCTGCCTGTAACTCCTGACTGTGTTGGTGAACGGGCCAAACAACAACACCAGGTTTTTTTCAATTCTGCAGTATCTTTGTCTCACATATCTCCTCCACAGTTTGAAAACCTCTGGTCTAAAACAAAATATCTGTCCGACCAAACTGGGTCTCTGAAAAGAGACGTATCTTAAGATAAAGTCCAAAATTATGTTAAAGTGTACTGTGTCCCGGCTGCACTTCATATTAACCATTTTTCCAGTCAATGTGAGTGAGTGAGGGCTTAAAACTGGAAGCCACACTGAATGCCAGCCTTGCTTGAATCTGTACCACACATTTACTATTTCATTCAACCTTAATTTGCTACTATAAAAAAGAATAAATTCGTTTTTTTCACATTTGACATCTCTCTAAATCAGAGGGCACAAACCAGATAACACACAAAGCTCATTTACCTTTCATGTACATCTTGGTGGTCTCCATGATCTCCTGGTAGACAACAAACTCGGGCAACGCTTTGAACAGTGCAGAGGTGGGATGAATGAACACCGGCTCGTCCATTAGAGGCGTCTGTGAACAAAATCAGATAAAGGTGAGGAGGTCAAGGACAGTAGAGGTAGACTCTCCTAAAATCACAATCACAGTCCTTAGAGCAACTTGCCTTGTAGCCGTTCTTCCATTTTGGGTCCAGTATATCTTCTGCCTGTACGCGCCTTGCAAGATGATCTCCCAGTCCGGCCAGAACAATCTGCCGCAAACAAACCACCTGGTGCTCTGTCGGTGGACTCATCTTGGGATTCACAAATGCTCCCACCTCTGGACACACTGCGTTCACTGGGATGAGAGCACACAAATGCTTTTCTGTTTTGTCTCTGCAGGACATCATGTGATAGGTGTGTGTGTGTGTGTGTGTGTGTGTGTACCTGCATTAGTAAGTTGTCCTCTGAGCCTCCTGATCTCCACCATGGCTTTATACCTCAAGCCGTTGTCCTCACAAAACTTAGGAGTACAACCAGCAAATTCACAAGCACCAACAGCACCTGTAGTTTACATGTAAATAGAAATATATTATAACCACATCAATTTACTTTTTTGCATTATGTGTCACTAAAA